GTACCTGCAGGGAGACCAGGTGAGTAACTGTGGTTAAATTGTGGTTAAAAATACACTTCTGTCCTATTTAACATTCTCTTAACTTTAACCTAATTTAACCAAAAGTTTTTTCTTCACTTAGAAATTTTTAATCACTGTAAATAAAGGGAGAGACTAACACGTTTTGTTCCTCGTCAGCTTCTGGGGTGAGTTAGTATTTCAAGAGACGGTTGGACAAGTAATTGGCAGACTCATAATAAAGTTCTCATAGTGTTAAGTCCATTTGCCAATTTTGTGTGTGTGTGTGTGCGTGTGTGTGTGTGCTGGTGTGCGTGTGGTGTGTGTGTGTGGTGTGGTGTGTGTGTGTGTGTGTGTGTGTGTGTGTGTGTGTGTGTGTGTGTGTGTGTGTGTGTGTGTGTGTGTGTGTGTGTGTGTGTGTGTGTGTGTGTGCAAGGAACTGTAGTCAAACTCCACAAGTAATGGAAAATAAACAGAGAATGCTAAATGACCATATTATAGATTTCACCGACCGCCACAGTGTATAGGACGTGGCTGTGGGTGTGTGGTACTAGGTGGAGATAGTGTGTGTGGTGTGGTACTAGGTGGAGATAGAGTGGTGGTGTGGTACTAGGTGGAGATAGAGTGTGGTGGTGTGGTACTAGGTGGGAGATAGAGTGTGGTGGCACTAGTGGGATAGGTGTGGTGTGGTACTAGTGGGGATAGTGTGTGGTGGTGTGGTACTAGGTGGAGATAGGTGTGTGGTGGTGTGGTACTAGGTGGAGATAGAGTGTGGTGGTGGTACTAGGTGGAGATAGAGGTGGTGGTGTGGTACTAGGTGGAGATAGAGTGGTGGTACTAGGTGGAAGTGGTGGTACTAGGTGGAGATAGTGTGGTGGTAAATGGGATAGGTGTGGTGGTGTGGTACTAGGTGGAGATAGAGTGTGGTGGTGGTGGTGGTGTGGTACGGTGGAGAACTAGGTGGAGATAGAGGGTGGTGTGGCACTAGGTGGAGATAGAGTGTGGTGGGTGGCACAGGTGGAGATAGAGGTGTGTGTGTGGGTACAAAGGGAGATAGAGTGGTGGTGTGGTACTAGGAGATAGAGTGGTGGTACAGGTGGAGATAGAGTGGTGGTGTGGCACTAGGTGAGGGGTGGTGGATAGTGTGGTGGTGTGGGTACTGAGGGTGGTGTGGGTACTAGGTGAGATAGAGGTGGTGTGGCAAGGTGGAGATAGAGGTGGTGGTGTGTACCAGGTGAGAATAGAGGTTGTGGTGTACCAGTGAGATAAGTGTGTGGTGTAGTGGTGGTACTAGGTGGAGATGGTGTGTACTAGGAGATAGGAGGTGTGGTGTGGTACTAGGAGATAGAGTGTGGTGGTGGGTACTAGGTGGAGATAGAGTGGTGTGGTACTTAGGTGAGATAGAGTGGGGTGGTGCTGTGGGAGAAAGGGTGTGGTACTAGGAGAGAGGTGGTGTGTGGTACTAGGTGGAGATAGAGTGTTGTGGCACCAGGTGGAGATAGAGTGTGGTGGTACTAGTGGGGAGATAGAGTGGTGTGGTACTAGGTGGAGATAGAGGTGGTGTGGTACTAGGTGGAGATAGAGTGTGGTGGTGTGGTACTGGGAGATAGAGTGTGGTGGTGTGTGGTACTAGGAGATAGGTGGTGGTGTGGTACTAGGTGGAGATAGAGTGTGGTGGTGTGGTACTAGGTGGAGATAGAGTGTGTGGTGTGGTACTCAGGGGATAGAGTGTGGGGTGTGGTACTAGGTGGAGATAGAGTGTGGTGGTGGTACTAGGTGGAGATAGTGTGTGGTGTGGCACTAGGTGGAGACAGAGTGTGGTGGTGTGGTACTAGGTGTGAGATAGTGTGTGGTGGTGTGGTACTAGGTGAGAAGAGTGTGTGGTGGTGTGGTACTAGGTGGAGATAGAGTGTTGTGGTGTGGGTACTAGTGGAGATAGTGTGGTGGTGTGTACTAGGTGATAGGAGGGGTGGTGTGGTACTAGGTGGAGATAGAGGGGTGGTGTACTAGGGTGGAGATAGAGTGTGGTGGTACTAGGTGGGATAGTGTGGTGGTGTGGTACTAGGTGGAGATAGTGTGGTGGTGTGGTACTAGGTGGAGATAGTGTGGTGGTGTGGTACTAGGTGGGTGTGGAGTAGAGGTGGTGTGTGTGGTACTAGGTGTGATAGTGTGTGGTGTGGTACTAGGTGGAGATAGTGTGTGTGTGTGGCACCAGGAGTTAGGAGGTGGTGGTGTACTAGGTGGGGATAGTGTGGTGGTGTGGTACTAGGTGGGGAGATAGTGTGGGGTGGTGGTACTAGGTGAGATGGGTGGTGGTACTAGGTGGAGAGGTGTGGTGGTGTGGTACTAGGTGGAGCAGAGTGTGGTGGGTACTAGGATAGTGTGGTGGTGTGGTGCACTAGGTGGGAGATAGTGGGGTGGGTGGTACTAGTGGTGGTACTAGGTGGAGATAGTGTGGGTGGTGGTACTAGGTGGGATAGTGGGGTGGTGGCACTAGGTGGGATAGTGTGTGGTGGTGTGGTACTAGGTGGGATAGTGTGTGGTGGTGGTACCAGGTGGGGATAGAGTGTGGTGTGGGGTACTAGGTGGGGATAGTGGTGGTGTGGTACAGGGGATAGTGTGTGGTGGTGTGGCACAGGTGGGGATAGAGGTGTGGTGGTGTGGTACTAGGTGGGATGTGTGTGGTGGTACTAGGTGGGATAGTGTGTGGTGGTGTGGTACTAGGAGATAGTGTGTGGTGGTGTGGCTAGGTGGGGATAGTGTGTTGGTGGGTACTAGGGTGGAGATAGGAGTGTGGTGGTGTGGTACTAGGTGGAGATAGAGTGTGGTGGTGTGGTACTAGGTGGGGATAGAGGTGGTGGTGTGGTACTAGGTGGAATGGGGTGTGGTGGTGTGGTACTAGGTGGAGATGGAGTGTGGTGGTGTGGTACTAGGTGGAATGAGTGTGATTCTGTAAAACTTCAACTATGTGAGTATTTCACAGAAAGTTTGGATATTGTGATATTAGAAGAGAGGAAAGATATCACACACTTGTGGTGTGTATATATATATATATATATATATATATATATATATATATATATATATATATATATATATATATATATATATATATATATATATATATATGTATGTGTGTGTGTGTGTGTGAAGCAAACATCATATATATTAGCATAAAACTCTTACTAGTTTGGGTATTATTGCATACATTACCATATAATCAAGCTGCTTAATTTAATATTGGCCAAAACCCTGTAAAATCCTGATTCACCCATTGTGCTGGTAATTGATAAATCCTGATCCACCCGTTTTGCTAATAAGTCATTAAACCGGATTCACCCGCTCTTTTAATAAATAATAAATCCGTATTCACCCATTGTGTTAATAAATAGTATATATGGAGTGGCCCGTCCTGTGACGAACGATAAGCCAGTCTCCCGTTCTGACAACGAATAGCAAATCTGGATTCACAAGTTATGCTGATTATTTATAAATCCGGATTCAACCATTCTGATAATACATGATAAGTCCGGATTCACTCATTGCGTTCCCATCATAATTATTCACGATCAACTGTTTTTTTGTCAATGACATGAAGGCCTGGAATGTTAAACTGGGTAATGCTTATTGGTGGTGGTAAATAATGTACAGCGGTCTCTCCTCTCTATGTTTGTGTGTGTTTCTCCAAACATGTGACTGTTTCATTGTACGTCTATGTGTGTATAGGGAGAGGTTTGCGCCCGTTAGATTCAAGTGTACACACACATAATATATGTATATATTAGAGTTGCCCTTATTTACCGTGATCTCACCTAACAAATGGTCCACCTCTGGGATTTGTGACGAATGGTACAGGTCGCTGTCGGGTACAGTACAGTGTTCAGAATTACGATATGTTCTTTCTTTTCTTCAAGTGTACAGGAATTAGTTTGGTGCATCATGTCAAGTTCTTCTGAAGAAACACTTAACCACATTCCTCTGGCAGGTTGGTCCCCGCAGCCTCAGTTTACCTCCACCAAGTTGCCTTCGAAAAGAGAACTACAATATGTGTGTTTTTACGAGCACCTGACACAGAGGGAAGCAGGTCGTTCAGGTTCCTCCCAAGTTGTGGACGGGGCAGAGTACAGAACTCGGCCAGGAGTCTTGTGGTTGGTGAAGAAGCAGTTGATAGATAATTATTGTTACAGATAAAAATTGATAAATGGAAGAAACTCAAGAAGATCAAAGACGCCGAGAAGAAGAGATCTGACACACTGAGAACAAAGGAGGAGAATTTTGAACACAAACTAGACAATAATGTTTATGTCGCCCAACGTTGTTGTTTTAATATATTACAGTACTGCTCTCTTACAGCTGAGGCCTTTGAGAGATGTGTATATCGGTAAATATTCTGGTCATCAACATTTTAAAGATAATTAAGATTCTTTCACCCATACTATACTGTAGGGTACCTAGACACCTGCAGGAGTGGGTCACCTGGACACCTGCAGGAGTGGGTCACCTGGACACCTGCAGGAGTGGGTCACCTGGACACCTGCAGGAGTGGGTCACCTGGACACCTGCAGGAGTGGGTAACCTGGACACCTGCAGGAGTGGGTCACCTGGACAACTGCAGGAGTGGGTCACCTGAATACCCGCAGGAGGAGTGGGTCACCTGGATACCTGCAGAATTGAGTCACCTGGATACCTGCAGCAGTGGATCACCTAAAGACCTGCAGGAGTGAGTCAGCTGGACACCTGCAGGAGGAGTGGCTCACGACTCACCACCATGACCACAGCTCCGGGTGATAGATGGCCCGCAGTGTGTCCAGTGCTCTCTCTCTCTCTCTCTCTCTGAGCTAATACACTGTCTCTCTCTCCCTCACAGGTCGGGTCCAAGTGGGTGAAGTCCTATGGTGGCGGGTCACTGCAGGACGGTGGGATCCCTGGCCTCTCTTTACGTCTCCCCGGCCACCAGGTGAGTCATTAAGTCACCCCCCGAGTCACTCTTGAGTCACACAATCATCGCTGAGTCATTAAGTCATCCCCCAGAGTCACCCTTGAGTCATTGTGTGTTTCCTGAGACGCTGCGAGTCTGTTGTTTTGTAATGAACCGGTACTGACATAACTACAGGGAGAGAAAGACAGATAGTAGGAGAGAGAGAGAGAGGGAGAGAGAGTGCAGGAGTTAAAAGGAGAGCTAAAAATGAGAGAGAGATAGAAGCGGAGACAGAGAGAGAGTTAGCTCACTTTCGTTACCCCAATTACCATCATAATATTTTTGCCATTTATTTTCCAAATTAAAAAAAAAAATCACAAATCCTACGAAACCAGGAAAACATTTTACTGGAAAAAAAATACCAATTACTGCGTCGCTTTTGTGCCCACTCAGACCAAGTAAATAAAATTTCCCAACTTCGGACACAAAATCTATAAAATTTACGGAAGTTTAACAAAATAACAATAAATGTCTCCAATTTAATAACAACAACAGCAAACAAAAAACAAACATTAAAATTCCCCAAATTCCGACTCTATAATAACAAAAAAAATCCCCAAATTCATATAAAAACAAAAAATCTCCCAATAAAGAGAACCAGCCCTAAATATCTTCTCCCTTGACGCTGGTATAGACCTGACTTAGGAACCTCTGAGAATACGACTTCCTAATCTCGTAAATTAATCTGGCAAGACTTAAGAGGTTTTCTATGTCTAATGAAGCAAGTTTTTTTAGTTTTTTTTTATTTCACTAATTGGCTGCAGGTGTGTTAAAAACTAGCGTGTGGGATAGCTCTCTCTCTCTCTCTCTCTCTCTCTCTCATTGTGAACGACGTAATAAAAATACATCTCCCTGGGAAAAAAAATTCATTGGTAAACAAACATGGCGGATGTTGACACCGGTTACTACAAGCCTAAAAATAACTGCGACACAAGTTATCATATCGCGTCCCAATTACGTCCTATTTCACATTCTGCAATTGGCAGTAGCTTGACATAGAGCGTCATAGTTGTCATAAGGCTGCAAATTGCCAACCAAAACGCGAATTGCATCAGTAAAATCATTTAGTAGCAATTAAAAGCGAATTCACCTGATTAGTATCTGAACTGACCAATCGGAGGCCAGCTTACAGGTGGGACTAGGGGGAAAAGATGGGTGTAACTGGCCAATAGGAACAAAGCTTGCATGTGGGGGAGGGGGTGGAGGGGGCAATAGGAACCAGTCTTGCAGGTGAAGTTAGGGGAAACATTAGTGTAACTGACCAATAAGATGCGAGCTTCCACACATACTCGGATATTCGCAGGTTATGATTGGTGGATATCAGTCATGTGGTGTTGTCATTGGTGGATTTGGGAGGAGGAGAATAAGGAGCGATGAAAATAGACAGACAGACAGACAGACCAACGAACAAGCTGATAGACAGACAGATAGACCAACGAACAAGCTGATAGACAGACAGATAGACCAACGAACAAGCTGATAGACAGACAGATAAACCAACGAACAAGCTGATAGACAGACAGATAAACCAACGAACAAGCTGATAGACAGACAGATAGACCAACGAACAAGCTGACAGAGGCTGGCAAACAGATAGACAGATAATAATTAATCAGACAGACGAAGAGATGGAAATAATGAAATTAAGACAGACAGACAGACCACACACACACACACACACACACAGACAAAGACATACACACATAAACAGACATGGACAGATAGACACACAAAGAAATGGACAGATAGACGACAAGAAACAAAACTGAACATAAAACAACAAAATATCATAAAAACACAAAAACAGCAAAACAAAATAAATAATAAATAAATAAAAAATTAAATAAAAAAAAAGATATGAACTCAAGTGGGAAAAATATAATCCATTAGTTATGAAGTTTACATAGGTTATCGTCCTCCCTATGACGTCACTGTTACAAACTTAGAAAAATTTTAAAACAACTTTCCCAAAAATGGTCCAAAAGTTCTCTTCACTTTTACTATTTTTTTCTTTTTTAGTTTAAATTTGGAGGAAGTAAAATATTTAGTTGCCATTTTTTTTTTTACTTTTTGTTATTTTTCTTTGTTTTTGTTAATGTGTTTAGTCTCCTATTTGTTCCTTGTTATAGGATATTTTTGTTAGGCCTGGAGTCCATTTCACAGAAGTACATAAAAATTACCTAACCCTAACATAGCGTAGAGTAGGGTGATTAAAGCCCATTCACACACACACACACACACACACACACACACACACACACACACACACACACACACACACACACACACACACACACACACACACAGGCACACACACTCTCTCCAAGGTAAATGTCAGGTGTTTTGAGGTAATGAAACAGTTAAGTCCCAGGTGTAACTTCGGGATTACCTAGGTGGCGGATTAAATGGAAGAGGGATTAAACAAGAGAATTATCCTGGTAGGGAATTATCTAGGTGGGGGATTAACCAGGTATTGGATTAACTAGGTGGGGCGATTAGCCAGGTCCACGTACACCTAAAAGCTC